GTGTTGAGGAGCTGTTTGGAGTGACTGCAAGACCCTTGTTACAACCACTGGATCAGAGCAGGAGGTGAAGAAGGCCCGGGTGTCCGTCAGGGACGGTCAGAAAAACTGGCCATTCACCGTGACCATGGAGGGTCTCAGGTGAGACGACGCTGACACTTACTGGTGTGGGATTGAGAGAGGTGGAGCTGACCTGGGGTCCCAGTTAAAGTGAGCATTGACCCAAGTAAATCTTCCCTCGTGTACCATGTGTGAGGACGGAGGTTTCTGAGTTGCCTCTGTCTTCCCTAACAAATGAAGATGTTTCTCCTAACCCCTGCCTGAGCTCATGTGTGTGTGCATGAGTGTGAGTATGTGTGTGTGAAATATTTAGAGCTTTTACATGTATGTCAAGTGTTGCAAGCTTAGCCTCCTACCAAGAACAGGTAGTTTTTTGTTTTTTGGTTTTTTTTAAGACATGAGATTTCGCTATGTTGCCTAGGCTGGTCTCAACCTCTTGGGCTCAAGCAGTCCTCTCACCTTGGCCTCCCAAAGTGCTGGGGTTACAAGCATGAGCCACTGCACCCGGCCCAGGCAGATATCACAGAGAAAAAAAGCAACTTTTCTTATCATACATGTTCTTCCTCTTTTTTCTTCCCTTTCTCGCCTCTGAAAGACTCGGGATACAGGGAAGTATTTCTTTACTGAAAGAAAATTACATTTCAAGCATAACAAATGGCAGCTGACACTAAGCCAGAGACACCAGGGAGCAGTGAGGGTCACGCCCTCTGGAGAGCAGAAGATTCATGCACAGGCAGGTACCCCGTTCGGTTCCAGCTGCTGGTCCTTGTGCAAGGAGTGGGCTGTGTGATTCCAGATTTTTAAAATTTTCAGAGTATCCAGAAGGCTGCATTTTGTGCGGCACTCTCGATTTTAAAACACTGACTCCTTTAGAAAACAATAGCAGCATCGGCAACAACAAGGGGTCGTGGAGCCACCAGCCTCGTCCATGGGCTGCATGGGGCTGTCAGGGCTCAACTCCAGATCTCTGTTCCTAAGTGTGGCTCTTTTTTTTTTTCTCTTTTCCTTTTTCTTTTTTGAGTTGGAGTCTCACTCCGTCGCCCAGGCTGGGTGCAGTGGCACGCTCATGGCCACCCCAGCGTCGACCTGCTGGACCCTGGCGATCCCTCTGCCTCAGCCTTCCAAGTAGCCTGAACTATCGGCACGCCCTACCACACCCGACTTATTTTTTATTTATTACAGAGACGAGGTCTTGCCACGGTGCCCAGGCTGGTCTTGAACCCGCGGACTCAGGCAATCCATTCGCTTCGCCCTCCCAAAGTGCTGGGATTACAGGCTGAGCCACGAGCCCGGCCAGGCTCTTTTCTATGATTTGTACCATGCTGTTTTTGCCAATGTTTGATATTAGAGATGTGTCAGTTTCAAAAAAAAAGGTGAATGTGGTAGATGTTCATCATCTTTTATGTTCTGGAATCAGAACATAAATAGAGTCGAGGG